AGAGAGAAATAAAACCCAAGAAAGGCAAGAGATGCACATTACAATTGCTCACCACCCGCTGACCCGTGCCCAGCCAGTCCCAGTGCAGTGAGCAGCCCCTCCTGGCCAACTCCTCCCAGTTCACATACTGGGCATGACGTTCTATGGTATGGAATATCCCTTTGGCTAGTTCGGGTCAGCTGTCCTGGCTCTGCTCCCTCCCAGCTTCTTGTGCACCTCCTCACTGGCAAAGCATGGGAAACGGGAGAGTCCTTGACTTAGGGTAAGCACTGCTTAGCAACAACTAAAACATCAGTGTGTTATCAACATTATTCTCATACTAAACCCAAAACACAGAGCTGTACCAGCCACTAGGAAGAAATTAACTCTATCCCAGCCAAAACCAGGACATCATCTAATAAAATCACAATGGCTAACAATGCCTACTGTGAGATGTGACGAGTTTCTCTAAACCCACTATATAGCAGGTGAGTGGTGTCATTAAATGAAGAACAATCATTCACTGACACATCTGTTCATCACACCATTATTTCATTTGTTCCTTCTATGAGCCTGTGACAACCTGCACATATGCCCTGTAAGGAACTGTCTGATTTCCAGCTCTCACTGGACTAGTATGACAGGGCTATATACTGCTAATTCACAAGCCCTCCTAGTCCATTTCACAGCTTAGTCAGCGCCCATGCTGGCAAGGTGTTTTCCTTTCAGCTGATCTGTTCTGATTCTGAATTTGCGCCTGCTGGAAATACTGCAAGTCTTGAAGAAGGAATGTGAAAAGATCTGAATCTGAGATTTTTCACTTCCAAATGGTCAGACTACACAGGACTCGGAGCAAGTACTGTCGGTAGTCACAATTATTTAGAGATTACTTGGACCCTGCTGAGCTAGCTATCCTACAAATCCCTGACAGAAGGGTGAGATCTTCAGAAAGGGTCAGTAAATATAAAATAAGGGACTTAAGATGTCTATAAACATACAGAGGATACAAGTATAATTTACAGTACCAACAATCAAAAGCATTCTGTCTGCTGTCTCTAAAATCTGAAGGTCAAAGATCAGGCTGAACATAGGTGACCCATGGGGCCAGTCTACTAAAGATTTACTTGTTCCTGTGGGCAATGAAAAACAGGAGAGTGAGGCACTGCCAGCACAGCTGACTGTCTCTAAATAACCTCCTCCCAACCCCGAAGTACTATTTACAACTGGGGGCACTTTCCAGCACAGATTGAGAGCAAACTTCAACTCACACCTTTTGAAACCATGCTGAGACGTGACTCACTGTGCCTTTTGGAAAAATTCCATTTCGCATAAGTTTATCTCAGGGGTCAGCAAGAAAGCCAGCGCTAGTGCCTTCCTTTTCCTGTTCCATCAAAACACGCCCCCCTTGTCAAACCCACCTGGTGTTTGCTCTGGTGTTCCTCCAAGTGCTGGAGCAGACTGTTCATGTCTGGTCAAGCTCACAGCTTAGGGGAGAGGGGGGAAAAAAAAAAAAGCAACTCTGTTTAAAAAGGCATACTGACATCTTACACTTTAGCATATATTCAGCGCTAGCATATTTATGTTCAATTACTCATGCACTGTTGTCAGGCAGCGAGTGTAAGTGTTTGAAACATGTCACCTCTGTGCACCATGTTCTATAACTCTAGTTTTCTCCACTGTTCGGTTTTGCTGGTACAAAAGTCACCACACAGGAGCCCCTATGCAGGATCAGAAATTGGTTAAGAAGGATTACCTAAGAGTCCCAAAATATGGTGGTGTTTGTTTTAGAGAAAAGAAATCACCTTTTAACTTAACAGTTCACCAGCACTCAGGTTTGAACATTTTATCAGTTCCTATTATACAAGTAGGAGCAATGTGAGAGGTCCAATTTGAATATAAAGACTGATCTGTGTTTGAAAATTCTTTAAGTGAGAACGGGTAAGCTTTATTTCTGCTTGGAAAGGTATCTGTACAGCACTCCACACAGGTCTATGGTTTTCCAGCACCTAGGTCCTCCTATACAAGCTGGCAGGAAGGATGTGTTGCATGGACATTGTTTTCTTAACAAAGGAATTCTGAAGATATCCAAAAGCTCATTTGAGACATTAACAGTTGATTTTAAGATGTCTAGCATATGCTGCAGACATTGATTAATAATTACATTTAACAAATAAATTAGTAACAGAGGAATTTTTCTGCAAACACTGTATCTACTTTAAACAAAACTACTGTGTATTAGCCACAAATAAAAATTAAGATCTACCCACAAACTAATCTTGGAGCATTTTGGTCTAGCATTTTAAACAAACACAGCATAGACATAATGTTTGTCTCTGATGTCCCTTGTCAAACTCACTAACTTGTCATTATCTGAATAATGCCCAAATCAGTCAGGAAACTAAATTTGCTATCCCATTTGGATAAATATTCACAATTCTGATGTGTACCCAGTAATAGGATACAATCTTAAGGGAGAAGATACAGATGTGTCACAAAAATATAAACAGATACTCAACGAATTTTGGTGGTTAAGGTTTCTGGAAGGGAGAGCGCTCTCTTTGACTCCACTGGTCCCTTCACACTGTCCCTCAGGGAACGCACACTCTTCTGACGATTACGTGCGAAACGAGCCCTCTTGATCTTCCACATTGCTGCATCACTGAGGTTGGCGACATTTGTCCGGACAGCAGTGATAGCTTTGCAAATGCAATTGACCAAGTTAGGATTCATTCCACAGCATGGTGAGGCCCTAATGCTGCCAAGTGCCAAATGCAGCTGGGCCCCAGGTCCCACTCAAGTCAAGAAAGCTTCTTATGGGCTCAAGAGGTCCATCTGCAGGGTACTCATTCACATGCTCCGATTCTGAAATCCATTAAAACCCCAAATGGTGTAACTGTGTTTAAAAAATTATGCTGTTACTACTTTCTTTAGAGACTGGACAAAAATAGGTTCTTGAAACCAAAACCTGAATTTCAGGCTAAGGGAAGATGAGGTGCCCTCTATTTAAAATGGCAGAAATCTCATGAGTATGGATCACTAATACCCAAATGTGGCCTCTAGTTTTGCCTCACTGACCTCCTGTCCTGCCTACATCTATCATTCTGGATTTGAACAGCAGCTCTGTAAGTGTGATTATGCATTTATAGTGGTGTTACCAGCAATATCACTGCATGTCTTAACAGGGTCACCAATACTTTTCTATACTTATATCTATATACTGCATTCAAACCCTTCGAGTTTAATTATCTGAGCTACTAAAGCCAGTGACCCATCCTTTGTACCACTTACGTCTATGAAAAGGCAAAGAGAAAGGTTAAAAAGAAACTTGAAAAATATCTTTTGCATATTTTAAATTTTAAATCACTCCCAGATATATGTATTTAAAGATATGACCCTACATTTGGAGCCAGAGGTGCTAGAAACTAGTGCCGAGATTCCCTCCTCAGGCCACAGCAGCAGTTTGCAGCTTGGGGTCAAGCTACTCACATCTGGAGAAGAAAGTACATTTGCAGTTCCATCCATCTCCTGTATGGATGCAGCAGCACCTGGGCATTTTTACGCCCTGGGCTCCATGCAATTGTAGGAGGAGGCATCAGGCTGCTGAGGGAACACCCGCTGTCCAAACAGCTGTCCCCACCTCCTCCAAGCAAATCAGATGGAAACAGATCTGCCTCATGGGCTACCACTTGGGTAAGGAAGTTTTCAATTACTCAGCATGTTAAACAATCATGCACAAATTCTTTTCTAGCCCCCTCCTAGTGAATGGAAGGAGATATGGTACCTCATCAAGAAACCAAGTATGAACAGGACAAACATTTCCAAACATTTGTCACTGCAGGAATAGTTAACTGAGCACCAGCTCTAAGCATCTGTGTACCTCTTGTGCTGTGTCCCATACATTTGTTTGGTTTTTGATAGTCATACAGCTCCTAGGGCTGTCTTTGTACAGACCACTACAGAACAGGATCAGGCATGACCTAGGCCTTTAAGAATAGCAATGTTGACACCATAAGAACATCTACAAAACAACAAGTGGGTTAATGCAGGTTGCAGCTGATCATAGAACCAGACCTCATTTCAACCAAGGATGGCAATCACATCCTAGCAAGAGTAAAACATGACACTCAAAGGTGCAACAGAATATAGCCTAATCTGTATTCAGGCAGTCAAAAATGCTCACTTTGAATTATTCTCTTTTGGCCTGAAAGATTACTTAATTTTACAGAATTTATACAGGTGAGACCTACATCCCTCTCAGATACTTGCAGGCAGCTGAAATTCCAGAAGCTGATAAAAGGTGATCAGATTGATTTGGACTCTGCTTACTTGTTGGGAAAGGGAATTCTTTGTTGCAGTCCAGATGAAGCTGTGCTTCCAGAGACAGGGTCTCAAAGCGATTCACAAAGAACTCCCAGCTCAAAGCCGGAATATCCGCTTTTAGAAAATGGAGTAGCAAAAGCTTACTAAGAATTGTGGGCCTGTCCTTGACAACTGTGTCAAACTGGAAATCAAGGCAGAGGCAGAGACCCTATAGAGGAAAAAAAAAAAAAAAAAAAAAAACAAAAAACCAACAACACAGAACTGAGATGTGAAAACTTTAAGCATTTTTTAAAGCAAAGGGAGGTCTAAACTTGCAACTTCTCCTGTTAATTAGTACAGGATAAAGGTTTAGCTCCTTTTTCCTACCAAGTTCTTCAAATCAGAACTAAAGCTACTGATATCAATGGAAAAGTAAGGTAAGTAAGTGGATAAATGAACATCATTATGATGTTCAATATGAACATATTTAGAATGTAGAATTTGCTAAGATTTTGAGGAATACAAAGGTATAGGCAAAGTTCTGTCCTACTGCACATTTGTTACACAATATCAAAGTATTCTCTTCACACACAGCACTGCCTGACAAAAAGTTTATATTTAGGCAACTGAATCAAGTCCTTAATTACAAAAAGAATGAATCACCAAGCCCAAACAGAGGAAGAAAGATTGTGGTGAAACGTATCAGAAGCACTTTGCCTCAAAATGCTTCTGCATTTTATCTGCACTAGAATTCTGGATGTACTAGCAAGACTTACGTTTGAGAAGAAAACCCACACATTAAATATGAAAGTGCAGTATACTGGTCATAGTCTCAGCGAACTCAGTGAATTCAAGTTCTCTGGAAACTATTTTGAAAAGGCACTATATGGAATAAAACTAGCAAATATTAACAGTTTTTTATAGGCAGTAACACTGAACTTTTTAAAATACATATCCATAGTATTCTCCAGAGAACTAGAACTGAATCATGTAATATGAGTTTGGGTTTTTTTTAATCTCGCTTGTATCGGTAGGCTCTGATCCACTTTCACATCTGCTTATTTTTAATCATGAGAATTCTGATTGACAGGGTCTCTCACATGCTTAAAATCACATGCCTAAGGAAATCTTGAAAAGATCAGACCATATTTGGTTTTGCATGAATATATTTTCTCACTGTCAGCTCAGCAGGGTGTCATAAGACTTATAAATTTACTTTTCTTTAAATTGAAAAATGTCAATAAATTTGAAAATAATAAAAAACATTTACTGCTTTATAGAAGTTCAAACGTAACAGTGATCATTTGCAGTCATCAAAGTTTTTACGGTTGGACTCGATGATCTTAAAGGTCTTTTCCAACCTAAACGATTCTATGATTCTAAGGTGGGGCTAGGGCAATATCACTTCCCTTGGCTATTTTGTGCATATGTCAAATAACCAAGACCCATAATGCTTGCCTAAAGAGGTATTAGAAGTGATCGTGATGCTGTACACCTGAACCGC